GGAGGCATTGCAGGCTGTGCCGGCCGCCGAAACGTGAGGTCTGTCGCCGTCTTTGCTGTATGTTGTTTTATTTTATGGGCTGGGGGAGGAAAACCAGTTTAAAAGTCATTTTGCACGGGGGCGGCGGTGGTTTGTTCGACTGTGCCGCTGTCTCCCTGGTCTGCAGCTGGTCTCGTCAGTCTGCGTGCCCTGTTGATGTTGCACTTTCCCCCCAAAGATGGCACTGGATGTCTTTCGCATTTTCTTGGGATATTATTTTTCATCCCCTGGGGAGCCCAGCTCCTGGTTGGTACAGCTGTAAATCTTTCCCTTTTCACATTCATTCACCCTTGCTCTGTTGTGGATTTGTATTCAGTGCTTGTGAAGAAGGCAGCTTGTTATGTGGGGCGAATTAGAAGTGAACGTGTTTGGGTTGTTGGGGTTTTTTTGTTTTGTTTTGTTTTCCCACTTAATTCTGGTGACCCTAAAGCTCACACAGGTGACATTAAATGTAAAATGAAATCTTTGACAGCCGGATCAGCCCAAAGACTTTGTGTCCTGGCAGAAGCTGTCACCATTTATTAGCGGTCAGAGTGATACAGGTGATAACTACCTGTTAGAAGAAACCTCTGCTGCTCTTGCCTGTCCCTGTGCCTCCACGCCACTCTGCCTTTTTCCTTCTCGAGTGGGGAACAGCCCCGTGCCGGCCGTGCTCTGGGCAGGCAAGGCGGACTCGTCTCGTGATTATCGGATGAGATTTGGAAATGCTTTAATGGCACTTACCTTTCTCCTCTTCCAGGTAAACATGTATGACACCTCTGGGGGAGAGAAAAGGGACTTTTCCCTCAGCTGTCAGTAAAGGAAAGCAGAGTATTTTCTTGGTTCTCTGTAGAAATGTGGCATTTAGATATTCGTCTGAATCTTTATGTAGGTTCAGAACTGTCACTGCAGTTTTCTCAGTTGGCATTGCAATCTTCATGTCCATAGCTAGGCAGAATGAAAAGGAATGAAAATGCCTCACGTTTAGGTAAAAGACAGACTAGAAGGTGTTCTGTTTATTTGAGAAGCTTTTAATCTGTTTGTCTTGTGAAAACGGATTTGTTCTTTGATTGTGTTTTGAGGTCATTTGGGTTGTTTGGGGTTTTTTTGTCATTGGTTCTTAAGGTTCTTATGAATCCTTAGTTACTTTTTATCTTTCCTTTTTCTTTAACACCCTGACCTGTGGCCAGAAAATCCTTGAAAACGGGTTGTTTGCACCCTTGCTTTAATTTCATAAGGAGCATATTAGATCTGTATGCTGAGTTACTTCATTACAGAAAATGCCTGGCCACTTGACAGTACTTAGTTCGAGACTCTGCAATGCACATCCGTCACTTTATAGAGGAGACTTCCCAAATGGACTAGGAACCAAATCTGTTGAGCTTTCTGATGCTGCACATTCGGACAGAAGAGTGAGGATTGTGCGTGTTCGTTCTCTATCCTGCCATACGGAACATGAACCCGGTAGTGTTCTCGCCTGGTTCCAAGTTAGTTTTGGGGACATTGGGAATCGCTGTTGCTAGTTAGCCAGGCGCTGAGCTCGCTGACAAGTGAGAAGCACTTTCCATGGCTTGCCGAGCACGCATACAGGTTAATACTGGATTATTTTTTTTCTTCACTTTTTTTAAATGGCATGGGGTCTCCTTTGCATTCCTCATCTATGATGCCATACCGAGACTCTCCCCGTTACTGGACTTTGGCCAGATCCTCGGCGTTGTCGTAATCCCCTGCTGAAAGAGATCCGTGCAAAGTGGCTAGGGCAGTTTGTGGTGTGCCATATCACTTCTGTTTTCAAAAAGCATCCCGCTCTTTGTTCCCCTTTCGCCCTTGATCTTGCGTATGCATGTATATATGTACACGCACAGTGTTTATTTACGCCTTCTGCCTTCTTGTTGTTACTTTAGGATTTCAGATGCATGCCAGGTTCCCGCTGAATGCCAGAAGTAGAGATCACTACAGATGGAGCCCCAAGGTCAACATGGCAGCGGTGGTTCACTAGTGGTGATTCAGCAGCCCTCCCTGGACAGCCGGCAGCGGTTGGACTATGAAAGAGAGAGCCAGCCAACGACTATCCTGTCACTGGACCAGATCAAGGCGATCAGGGGCAGCAACGAATACACCGAAGGTCCATCTGTGGTGAAGAAATCCGGGCCGCGGACAGCGCCGAGGCAAGAGAAGCATGAAAGGACTCACGAAATCATACCAATTAATGTGAATAATAATTACGAACACAGGCCCAGCCACGTGGGGCACGTGGCGCATCAGCATAACGCGAGGGCTCCCGTCTTGAGCAGATCTACCAGCACGGGGAGCGCGGCGAGCTCTGGGAGCAACAGCAGTGCTTCCTCGGAGCAGGGGCTGCTGGGGCGGTCGCCTCCATCCAGGCCGGGCTCGGGCCACAACAGGGCCGATCGGACAATCCGGACGCAGCCCAAGCAGTCGTCTCTGACAGTAGATGATCTGAAGAGTCCTTTGAAAGAGGACTTGGCGCAGCACAAGTTTATCTGCGAACAGTGTGGGAAGTGCAAGTGCGGCGAGTGCACGGCCCCGAGGGCCCTCCCTTCTTGCTTGGCCTGCAACCGGCAGTGCTTGTGCTCTGCGGAGAGCATGGTGGAGTACGGCACCTGCATGTGCCTCGTCAAAGGGATCTTCTACCACTGTTCTAACGACGATGAAGGGGACTCTTACGCGGATAATCCCTGCTCTTGTTCCCAGTCACACTGCTGTTCTAGGTACCTGTGCATGGGAGCCATGTCCTTGTTTCTGCCTTGCTTGCTCTGCTACCCTCCCGCAAAAGGATGCCTAAAGCTCTGCCGAGGCTGTTACGACCGCATCAATCGTCCGGGTTGCCGATGCAAGAACTCCAACACGGTCTATTGTAAACTGGAGAGCTGCCCCTCCCGGGGTCAGGGCAAGCCCTCATGATTTTTGGGGGGAGGTTTACTTCCTCCAACTTCAGTTTTTCAGGTTGTAGCTGATTTTTTTTTTTTTTCCCCTCCTTTCTTTCTTTTCTTTTCCCTCCCCCATTTTGAGGGGGGCTGTTCTTTTGCTTTCCTTTCTGTGTCTCCCCAACTTCAAATACACAAGTTCTTCCCTTAGCATCTTTACTCTCCTCTTCCTGTTGACTCGGCTGAGTGTGAAGCGTTTTACGTAGTCGTTGCTGCTCTTTGGTAAGTGTGGACCTGGTATCTGCACCTGCTGCTCAATGTTGGCAGGGTCTTTTTTTGAGTTTGTAACTGAACCACTCCTGAAAGAGACAGTGAGGGTTCACTGGGCTCTTGAAGCTTCTTGCTCTGTGAATATCTTCCCAAAGATGTTTTTCGTTCTCAGCAATTTATTTTATTTTTTTTTTTTTTTTCCCCCTCTAACCTCCCCTGGGTACCAAGGAAGAATAACTTTCATGAGTGAGTTGGATTGTGAAAAAACTTTTTGTATGTGTTTTTTTGTGGAGAGGGATGTATAATAAAGGCTTTACCAAATGAAAGGCCTGACTCTTCTATAAGCAGCCTGCTTTTTTTCTTTTTTTTTTTTTTTTTTGCCTTCCCCCCCCCCCCCTTTTTTTTTTAACTTTTGGAAAATTTTCAATCCTGGGAATAATTACCCTGCTTCCTTTTTTTTACATTTTCAATGTAACTTCAGTTTTTTGCTACACTATGTAGATCTTCACATTGGAGACATTATGGCTGCAACATACTCATTTGTTTCTTTTGCTGTCAAATCTTTGAAGGATATTGCTAACTCCACCCTCCTCCTCCTGTTTTTATAGTCTATCAGTATCAGTTGGTATTAAAGTTGGTGGTGTTCATATATCCAAACAGCCTTCAGGTGTCACTGAGTCACCTAGACGTTCTTGAATCCTTACAAGTTTCTTGTGATCCTTTGGTTTAGTGAATTTAGCTCTGCTCTGTACTTTATAATTTTATTCTGTCCCTGTTTTATTGCCTTAGCCACAAATTGTGGTCCTTTTTTGTATATTTTATGTATAAAACACAAAGTTGAATGCCAACTATTTTTAAGACAAAAGTCTGTTAAAACTTTTTTTATTGTAAAGAATATTTATTATGTGAATCTCTATTATTTTATGATATTTATTGCAAAAGACTTTGAAAATGTACTCATGTCTGAATATAACAAAATATCAATACTTAACGAAATAAGGATGACACGAAGAAAGTACATATGTTAACTATAATGCAGAAAATATATTAATTAATGAAAATGGCTCTTGAGTTCTTTTGTTATAATGACAGGTTGTGAGCTACAACATACATATTGCTGGGTTGTTGGGGTTTCTCCTCCTTGCGGTCTATCAGGTAGCAAATAACTTCCTATTGATACTTCAAAACCACTAGTCTGTGCTCTAGTTTAGTTTACCTAATTGGAAGTTTGCTAACTATGTATCGAGTAAGTTTTTGCTATGGGATATTTAATACAATTGAATGTATATGTAGTGCTTAACAGTGCCAAGAAGTGTAGGCCTTATTTGTTTACCAAAGCATTTGGAAATACAGTTGTGGAGGAGGAAACCGTAACTTCAAGGGCTTTTTGTTTCCTAAAGAGTACCAAATTAACGTGTAAACCTATTTAAATTTTTCTATATAGAACTTCTTGGCTGGTTAAATTGTACGTCAGCTGCGGTAATGAATCTGCCGAGCTCAAATCTAAATAAAAAGCAAGAGGCAGGATAAAAAATAACGGCTGTGTTGCTGTGCTAGCTTTGAAATTTGGGAGGATGCGCGTGTTTGTGCCTATGCCTACGGCTTGTTCCGTTCTTTTCCCATACGTTTTCCCAATGTCAACTGAATCTATCTTCTGGCTTTAAATTAAAGGCTCTTAAGGGTGACCTAAGTGTCACGACTACTTGTGGCCATTTAACACATATTCAACAGAAAAGCTTTTCATTAGGAGTGAATGGGGAAACCTCATTCTTCTGTTGGTGTGGGTCAAGGCTAACATCACAACTCTTCTGAAGCAGAAAGTTTATTAAAGGGATGTAATTTCACATGGTATTCAGAATAAGTGATTCTAGAGATACTCCACTTTAAGAACAGAGTAATAACTTGACAGATGTGTCATATCTTGCGTTTTGAAGTCCTGCTGCCTTGAATTGCCATATTCAAGCTGTTCTGACTCCTGGCATATTGCTGATTTGAATAAAGCCCGTCTTTTGTAGTTAACTCCGTCAGAGCTGAGCCAGTGTCATATAATGAGCTGACTGAGAAGTTGCGTTCTTCATTAAATGGCACGGGTGACTGCTGTGAGGTATCCAGTGAAACCGTCATCTGGCTGCATCTAGGAAACCGCTTGCTTCGCAGTGTGCAGTTGGTAATGCTGCTCTCCCAGCCTCGGCGTGACAGAAGTGACAGGCTGGGAGGCTTGCGAAGTCTGCTTTCTAAGATTTACTCTTTGTGAGGTGAAGCAAAGCCGAGAGAAGAACGTTTCTGAGGAGCGGGCGACTTGCTCTGCGCTACTTTCCTATCACCGGTACTTCGCTAACAGCGACAGCTGCAAACAGCCCTTGGAGACAATGAAATCCTTGTCAAACAGTCACCGTTGGTCAGACAGGACCATTTTTAAGACTCTGTACTGACACTGAAAAATACCGAGCCAACTGCCTTTTCATAACTGGATGCAGTCCAGCTCTGTGCCGAGTAAGTTTGCTTCAAGGGTGTTAGTTATTCCTCTTCAAGAAAATTGTTGTACTGCTTATCTCTTTTTTTTTTTTTTCCCCCACGCCAGGTGACTTACGTGGGGGTTTGGTTTGGTTTGGTTCCTAGCAGAAGAGAAGAAAGCCCAAAAGACCCACATGTACTCTTGTCTTCTAATGATTATTTTCCATCGTGAGCTATGTCACAGCACGGTTGCAGATTTCTTTAAAAAAATAATCGCCCCAAACCTATGCTCTAGTTAATCACACTAACTAATGCTCCCTTTACTAACTGAACCGTGGGACTAACTTCAGGTTGCGGTTCCCTAGGAGGAAAATTTGACTTCGACCTACACAGCAATGAGAAGATAAACGGTTCCTTGTATGTCTTAACTGGTGTTACAATTGCCAGATGTTACCTAGAGACGGCAGCGTTAAGGCAATGAGAATAATAGGGTTTTTTCCTTGGGTTAGATGCTGTATCATTTGTAACTAATACACATCTCTCTATTGAGTTCACTTTCAGGTCCTCTGGAAGCTAGGGTTGTTCCTTTATGTTACGGAAATGACTGTGACTTCTTTCGGGCAGATTTTGTGGTGTAGAACTACGCAGGATTGCAGGAGAGCAAACAAATGTCTTTCCAGTGGGGAAAAAAATTGAGTGAGCTGACAGATGTGTGAAGTAATCCTCCACAGCTTGAAGAAACAAAAGTTATTTTCAATATACCCTGAGTGGGCAGTCATTATAATCTGTTCTGCTTTCTACAATATAGCAACTGGAACGACCATCTAGAGATACTGTATTTTGTTGTAAGGGGATTTGCTAAAGGCTACTGAGATCTGGTGTTTGGCGGGGGGGGGGGTGTGGGAAACTAAAGCGCGGATTTCAGTTCTTCAACCCAAAATTTGTCAGTGGGCTGGGGCTGTTCAGGCTACTTTCTACGTGCCTGTAGAGTGCCAGACTGTCAGCGGTCTGTTGCAATGTAGATGGTAAAAAATATTTCTTAACCTTTTTTTCAGATAGCTTTGAGATCTTATTTTGAAAAAATAAAGAGAACTCTGTATGAAACGATCGTGTCATTAGGCGGTAAGTTCAGCTGACCTACTAACCTAGTTGTATAGGTTGGTGATGGATTTGCACAAGCCTGCCCTGCCATCTGGTTGTACACAGCAGCGTCCCGAAACGTGGCACGTAAGGGCTGGGATGAGGGAGTAAGGGAAGTCCCTCCAGCAAGCCGGAATTCAAGTCTTGGTTTGCTTAGTGCCTTGAAACTCGTGGTAAGAGATGAGTTTCGGAACCGGCTGGTAAATAAGTTTCCCTGTTCCCCGCTGGAGGAGTTCATTGCTGGGGTGAGAATTGGAGAGAGTCGGGGTGTTTCTCTGAAGACAGGTTCGTTACGCTAACGCTAGTGTGGATGATAGCGTTATCCAAGGGGGGATAATGCTTAACAGATGAAACGTACTTGCTCTTGTTTATGGTTCCGTATCATAGAGACAGGTGGGAGAGGATTAGCTCCTCTGTCTGTGATAAAGCAAATCTGTTAAGAGGGATTAAAAGGGCTAGATGAAGTGTTTTAATGGACTTATACGAAGTAATAGATTTTTGTCCTGAAGGAATGTTCAGGACTCACTGATACTTCTGTATTTCTTGTTCTGCTAAAATTGCCTCCAAATTCTAAGGAATCCTGATTAATTGTTGGCTTTTTTCCAGCTGGAGCATTTGTGTGTCAGTCATGGTGGTGCTTCAAAAAACCTGGAATAAAATTTTGTTCTGCTATCACCTAGCTGGATTTACCAGCCCTACACAGGTCTTGTTCTGATTAGCTGCCATCAGCGGGCAAGTTGCTTTTAGGGTAGCTCTTAAATCATTTGTACTTCCTCGCTGTGGTTGTTTCTCACCTTTGTTTCACTGATGGGTGTAGCCAAGGCATGGCTTCTACCCTCGGCATTAGGTACGTAGCCACATGGGGCCTGTGTTAACAAGCTTTATGCTCTCTGGAAGGATCTATTCAAAACACTTCTAAGCTACCCAGAAAGTTTCCTTCAGCATGCTCTGCTTCCACGTTAGAGCATGGGCTTGGGCTGTCACTGGTACATGGGACTGGTGCCCCACCGTCGTCTGGTGGGATAAGGATGATCTGTGAGTTGGGCGGCAAGCGCAGCCCACAGATCAGCTTTCTGGCGCCATCTCGGCATTTAAAAATCCCAGCACAGAGTTATTCAGGCTCTTTGTGCACCCTTGCGCTGTGAATCCTTGCTTGCTGCGAGCGGAGAGCTC